TTAACTTTTCAGTAGATGATGCCAGGCTAGGAAGAGAGAATAGAAATTTTGATCCCTACTTAACAATATGTATTAAAATGCAGCTGCAAATGGGTTGAGGATTTTTTATTAAAAGCATAACTTTAAAACGTTTGATGAGAATTTAAGAAAATACTCTTGTGGCTTTAGAATGAAGAAAGCATTTGCTAAATAAAACTTTCAGTTCAGATTTATTCAGAAGCAGGGGGAAAAAAATCCCAAGATAAGGATTCTATTGGAAGACATTTATTAAGGAGGATATACTGGTAAGATGGTTAAGAATGGAGAAGGGAAAGGAGGGAGAGAAGGGGAAGAGAGGGAGAGAGGGGAGAGAGAAACAGAGACAGTGAGAAGGAAGGGGAAAAGGAAGAGAGAAGAAAGGGAAGGAGATAGCACAAGATATGTTACACAGCATTCACCATATGAACCTCTGAGTTTTAGGACAGTGCTATCCCCAGTGTTAATCCAAAGACCAACACTGGGACTCAAATAAATCTTTCAGGTTAAAGATAAGTTTAAAAAAGTAGTAAGAAAGTCTTTTTTGAAAGGAGCAGTTTTCACTTTCATTGATTTTTTTTAAAGCTTTTACTTTTACTTTTCAATTTTACTTTCCTGGCTTTCACTCTTATGGTGTTTAATGAAAGAAAGAAAGGAGGGGGCGGGGAGAAGAGGCAGGAGGAGGAAAAGTGAAAGAATTAAGGGGCAAAAGTAATTCTGCAGTCATTTTGAAATTTCGTACCATTACTTTAAAGTTCCTGTGGAGGAATAAATGGGTGGTTTTAACCCAGAAAACTTTATAAGAGAAAAATAATGGAAGGATTTGTTTTTACAGTTATTAAAACTTGTCTCTCATACACACAGAGACAGACTCACAGTGGAAGCTAATAGCTACGCAAAAGTCACTGAACAGATGTGAGGATATAAAATACCAACATGGTAGCTGGATGGCATTTTAAATCATTGGGGAAATGTTTTGACTGGTCAAAGAATTGTCCTAAGAACATTGCAAAGAACTATAGTGAGATCTCAGCTGAGTATAATCTAGTAAACAAATTCCAGATGAAGTTACAGTGTTAGGTGTAAAAAGAAAAAAAAATGGAGGGATGAGTTATAGAGTAAGTCAGAAAACAAATCAGTCATCTCTATTTTCTATTTATCTGATTGGGGAAGAGAAAGAGAATTTCCTCCTGATTAGAAAGATCAAACGGACTCATTTTACTAGCTTGAAAGTTACCATCATAACTTCCACCAGACAGACCATCCTCTACCTCTACCATAAACACGGCCCTTCGAGGCAGGTGCCAATGGCTGCTCAACTTCCTCATTTTCTGATTGCGGCTCTGAACACTGCCTTCAGTTGTTTATCTCCTAACACTGGACTGGAGTTCCTGTTAGGTGACTCTCATACCTGCCTTTTCTCCTCCACCCTGTACGCTTCTACAAGAACTATTTCTGATCATGATTTCGATTTCCAGACATTGGCACCAGTCTTTGTATATCCAACTGCCATTGAACCAACCAGAGAGTGTTTTACATATACCTCAAGAAAAGTTCCTCTCCCCAACTCACCAGCTTCCTCTTCAGACTGGACACCATGAAGACCCACTCTTATAAATCACAGCCTGATTGCTTAGTTTTAAAGAACTAAGTGTTGGGGCTCTCCATGGCACGGCCTGTCCCTTCTATCTTCCTCCAAACCCATAAGCTACCTCTATCCATCATCACCAAGTCATGGTAGGCTAGCATGACTCACTTCTACACTCCCTTTCCCTAGTCCAAGCCACCATCCTTTCTCCCTATATTGACTACAGAAACCACCTAACTGATTTCTCTTCTTCCACCCTTGACCTCATAAAGCTATGAACCACATTTCAACATTCATTGCTTTTGCCCTTAGAAACTTCCACTTATCCATCATGTCTCACTTACTTGTCACTCAACATTCTGACATCCCAGATTTGATTTTTCTCTGCTGCTGTTCTTCTAATTGAATAGGCCATTCTGTAGAGTTTGATGACAGCTTCAGTTAATTGTTATAATTATTTAAATATTTTCCCTTTCTAGGGCACAGATTGATCAAGGACTTGAGTATATCTCTCATTTTATTGCATTCTTAATGCCTGCTACAGTCCTTTGATTATATTAAACACTCAAAAATATTTATGAAGAAGAGAGCTGGGATAGGGAAAACAATGAGATTTAACTGATTAAAAGTTTTTATCTACCTAATTTAAAACAAAGGAAACTCTGGCAAAAATATTTATACATTCTGCAAAAAAAAAAAGGATGCTCTTATAAAGAAATGACAGTGACAAATCCAGAAGACAAAAATGAGCAAAAATAAATAGCTATAGAAGAAAATGAGCACAGGGTATAGAGACCATGTTCCTAAAAGAATCAATGCAAATGACTAATTAAGCAGAAAAAAACTGCACTCTCCAGTATTCTAAAAAGGATGCACACATGCACTTAATTTTTTAAATAGTGTTGGCAGAAATCAGGACTAGGCATGTTCTGTTGGGGATTCATACTAACTTTCTGGGAAGCAATCTGGTAATTTGTGTCAAAAGGCTTAAAAATAAAATTATCTACTTTGGCTGAGTAAATTAATTGCCACAAGTTTATCTTTGGGACATCAGAAAAGTTGCATGCAAATACTTATTTATAAGACTGCTCATTCCAGTGATATTAATGTTCAAAACAATGAGTTCAAACTAACTTTAATACTTTAATTACAAAGTATTGCTAACTTTGACTATGCTGGGGTTATTGTTCTAAAAGTAGCTATTAAAATACAGGGTTCTAAAGAATAGTTAAGGATTTTTTTTAAGTTTATAAGTTGTTTAGTGATTTAAAAAATAGGTCAGAGTTTAATACACACGGAAAAGATTAAATTTCTCTAAAAAGTGAAATGTAAGGCTGGGTACATTGGCTCATCCATGTAATCCAGATGCTCAGGAGGTAGGGAGCAGAGGATTGTTATTTGAGGCCAACACATTAAAAGTACTATCAAGACCTCCATCTCCATCAATAATTAGAGAGCAGTTATGAGGGAGGGGAGGCCACAGTAGGAGGACAGAACCTGAAGCCAGTCATGAAAACATGAGCCTATACCTGAAAAATACCTAGGGGCAAAATGACTGGGTATGTGGTTCAAATGGTAGAGCACCTGCCTAGCAAGCACAAGGTCCCGAGTTCAAACTCCAGTGCCATCAAAAATAGTAAATAAAGTACAGATAAGCAAGGTATATTTCATAGTTTAAAAATAAAATAAGTATACCTATAAGATGTATAAAATGCTGTAAAACATCTTTGGATGTGGTATGATAAAGGGATGTTATTCGATCTCCTCTTAAAACTTGTTCATGCATTCTTAATATCCAACAAATTGTGTGAATCATATCCGTAATGAGAAAAACTAAATATGTTTTAATGTGACAATGGAGTACTGATTGCAACATATGTTGGAGGCTCGATTGAGAGAGGCCTAGCATGATGATTTAGAGTATGTCTGCTTTGAAGCTCCTGGACAGGTGTTCAGTTCCCTCTTTTTTCAACTTAAGACTTGGGTGACCTTGGCAACTTCCTGAGTTCTCTCAGCCTCCCTTGGCTTAGCATTACAAGGGAGATAATGCACACCACCAGGCAGAGCTATTTTGTGGCTTAAGGAAAAATAATGTGTGTAAAATTCTGATCAAAGAGTAAGTGCTTATACTTGTTTGTATAAAGCTGAAGTATAAATAGATCTGTAATGATTTACATGGATTCAGGATTCTCTAAGGGTTTATAACTGGAAAGTTTGGAGAATCATTTAGTTTCTGCCTCAGCATCTTGCAGACTGCTGTGAGAATGTTGGAATCCTATAGGAGGTACCTGGTGGGGAGAGACTGGCCTGTTACAGAAGCAGCCCCAGGAAAGGTTGTGCTCATTAGGCCAAAATGCTGGCCTAAGTCATTCATTCACTCTCCAACCAGCCAGTAAATAACCATTAAGCACCTATCCCATGCCAAGGATTGGAGATTCATCAGCAAGAAAAGCTAGCTGACACTTTGGAGCAAAGTGAGCTTCTTTCTTTTTCTTTTTAAACTTTAAAAAATTATCTTTAGTTGTAGAAAGGAGTTGCCATTCAACAAAACAGTTTAAGAATGCAATAGATTTGATCAATGTCACCCTTTCAACATTCCCACCCATCCCTTCCCTTTCTACCCCTTCTGACCCTCTTCTTCATTTTGTAGGATACTAACTTGAATTTATGACTGCATTCTCCCCTCTTCTCCTCTTCATTCATCTACCCTTTTCCCTTTCACCTCACTCTACTCATTTCAAGTATTGACTTCCTAGAGTTCATTTTGTGGAACTTTGATTTTAACTTTCTAAAGAATTATACTATTTGAATTCTCCTTTGAGCATCTTTTAATTGGACTGGGGTCTCAAGGCACATAGTTTGTACTCGATTTATGATTTGGGAAATGGAGGAAGCACTTCCTAAAGCTGTAGACACCATGGTGGGGTTAGGAAATCAACGGCTGGTAAAATGATGGCTAGGCTTGCTTTGCATTCCTCAAATGCCAATCTTAGAGCAAAGGCCTATTCTAGAGTCCTGCCTACTGAAGGAGCCCGGGCCTGCTGATCTCCTCCCTGCCTGGACCAGGTTTACTTCCCAAATAGACTAGCTTAGTTTGTAGATAAAAAGCCATTTGCCTTTTAAAGCATAGTCTGAAAACTGTGGTCTATAGGTAAAATCCACCCATTGTTTGCTTTGAAAGCAGTTCTGTTGACAGACAGATATAACCATTCATGTTTGGACCCAACGTCAGTTTGGTACTACAATGGTAGAGTTGCGTAGATGCAACAGAGGCTCTATGGCTTGTCAATATTGTGATGTGTTCTTCCTTATGACTGATGGCAACTTTGCCAATCGCTCTTGTAGGTCAATGACAAGGATGGTAACACCAAGTTCATCACTTTTTTTTCTTCTATAGTTCCAGGAGCTGTTCCTCTTGAATCCATCCAAGGGGGACCCTTTGAAGAGAAGATCTACATCCAGTGGAAACCTCCCAATGAGACCAATGGAGTCATCACACTCTATGAGGTAAGAAAGGTCCCTTGGGCTGCTCCAGTCATGTCTTCTGTAGGCCAAAGATGACGCCTATCTGTCTATTGAGGGTGTATAGGTGTGAGGTTTCTGACCCTACCATGGGAAGAGCATGCAGTTGGGCTTTCTTGATGTTCCTCAATAGACAGAGAAATTTGAATACACCTCTTGTTAAGGTGATTTTAGTGACAATTGATTCCTTTTAGCATAGGAGTTAGGAGCTTAAGGGTTCACATGGCTCTGATTCAGAACAGATACAGTCCTGGAAAGCAGTTAAGTTTATCTGGCAAACCACAGGACTCCCCATGGTGCTCAGCCCTTTGAGTATCAGTTCCTGGACTTTGAAAAGAATCCCAGAGATATAATGTTGTTGTTCCTTAAATTGTTCTGAGGGAAAGGCATATTGAATTGTTACCATGTGATAGTGCCCAAAGTCTCGTACCAAGCATTAACAGGGCCTTTTCATATCCGAGATGAAACACAACCTGTATGGACAGTAATTTCCCACAAAGCCAACGTGATACTGTTTCTTGAGACTTGAGAAAGCAAAACAAGCAATAAGGAAGTCCATTGCAAAGCAAAACCCCCAAATCTCTATCAAAAAGTACATGGAGCTAAGATTCAAGAACTGGAATGTGTATAAGATTGCTTCTCCTTGTATTATATTTGTTCAGAGTCATAGTCTTACAATATAACTCAGGCTAGCTTCAAACTGCAGGCCTTCTTGCCTCAGCCTCCCAACTGCATATATCTAAGACTCATATATGCCCAGCTCACTCTTTGTATTGGAAGACAGTAGGGTAAAATAGAAAAATGGAGCAATGCAGAGAAACAGAAGCAAGAAAGACATAGCCTAGCATTCTAGTAGCTGGTACCATAGTCTCAGGTTCCCTTTAGTGGCCGTTTCTCTCTCTATGCCTGTTCCTCCATCTGTAAAACCAGGGCAGCCATCTCTGCTTCAGGATTTCTCTAGCAAGTCTAAGGGAAAAAGCATAAACAACTTCCAAACAGAAATATAACTAGAGGCCCATGAAGGGTTTACCCCACTGAAAGCTCATGCAGAAAGATGCATAGATGGTAAATGTGCTGGGAGGGGAACTCTGGGGAACAAAGTCAAGGCATAGTTGATGAGGTAGATCAGGATTACTCTGATGAACACATAAGCTCTCTACAGACATCAATGGTCCTAAGGGCTCTCTGAAGGAGGAGATTATCTGCCATGTACAAGGAGCTTGAGAAAACACCTGTCCCACTAAATCTAGCATTCCTCAGAAGAGGATATCGCTAGCATCCTAATATCTGCATTATAGAAACAGCAGGGAGCTTGATTCAGCCCTCAGGACCAGACACCTATCCCTACCCTTGATGAGCTGTCCTGGGCTGCAGGCAGATGCTTTGTAAAGAAGAGATCACATAATAAATGCCAGCATTGGGGGAGGAAATAGAGATAGCAATTACACACACACACACACACACACACACACACACACACAGATCTATTGTGTATAGCTTTTTTTCATTATATATAAAAGAAAAGCACCCATGATTTAGAGAGCAATGGTAGTATTCTGTTTGTTGTTTTTTTTAATCTCTCCAAGCCAGGTGACAGTGTCTTATGTCTGTAATCCTAGCTACTGAGGAATCTGAGATCTGAGGATTGCAGTTCAAAGCCATCCCCAGCAGAAAAGTCCAAGAGAGTGTTATCTCCAATTAACCAATGACCAGCCAGGAGTGGAGCTGCATCTCAAGTGGTAGAACACTAGTCTTGAGCATAAAAGCTCGGGGACAGTACCCAAGAGTTCAAGCCCAAGACCCGCACATAAAAACTAAAACAAAAAACTCCATGCCAGACATGTATAACTTTTGCAATTCCCACTCCAGTAACATTTCAAAGGTCTTAGAGACCAACTTAGGGAATATGAACACACTGTATTATCATTTCATAATTCCAAATGCATAGGAAAGGACATCATTTCAGACTATAAGGTAGTCTGTCAAATTGAATACATTACTAATAGCCTGTGAGTTTGCCTTTTTTTTCTCCTCACTGGGATGACACCTTGTTTATGAACATTCCCTGGCCCTGAAGGCCGGACCATGTTGCTAGTGGGGTCACATCTCTATGTGTCCCTTGAGAGCAATACACTTTGCCCTCTAGTAGGATTACAAATTGGACTGGACCAAGATGGTCATGATTGCTATCTGGGGCTTTTATGTGAAGATGGATGGTTCGGCCTCTCCCATCTGAATCAGCTTTCTACACTCAAGCTATGGCAACTGTGGGCAGGCACTTACAGTGCCGGAATGAGCTCACCCGAGGAATGAATGCAGCCAAACAGTTGTCTCAAAAACTCTTCAATAAAATCATTGAAACACAAGCTGTTCAGAGTTCATGAAAAACAGTAATCAATATGTGTTTCAATTCAATTAATTGTGCTCATCTCTGTCCAAAAATAAAAATCACACAGTGTGAGGGAATTGGGCCAGAAGATGTTACACTTGCAACTGGGTTAACGAAGTGTGAAAATATTTAAAATTCAGACATAGGCAGCATCCTAGTAAGCCTTTATGTTTAGCAGTAAAAAATCACCAAGTTTCTAATTACAGTGTATAAATCTGAGAAGCTTAAAGGGAACGAGAAGACCTTAATGAGGCAGGAACGGGTGTCTTGATTATTCTAGACTTGATTGACATTTATCTTGCAAGCTATTCTAAGTCCCATGTTCAGAGTTAAATAAATCACAGACTTGGGTCTCAATCACACAGGGCTGCACTCTGACGTGGGGGCACCTTGGGAAGGTACAATAGCTCAGAGGATTGTCAATGTTTTGGGTTTTTTTTTTCCTAGCATACAGAGAGTTGGATTCAATCTGCCCAAAAGCACAGGGCTTGGGGAATCAGCAAGCCAGCAGAATGTATTACAGGAAGACTGGTGTGGATTCTGAGACAGAGTTTTAACAGGATGAGAGTAGACACACCAACTTAGATGGAAACCAAGGATCAGCTGTGTGGGTAAGCGTAGGAGCAAGTGCTCAGAGACAGGCCTAAAGGATGAATGTGCAAATTCCTTCTGTTCCCTTAGCTTAGCCACTGTGGCTCCTCTAGCGGTCATCAGGGCTGAGTGACCATAGGATATGGTGACTGATCTGTAGAGACACGGTGGGGAAGATGGGATGTGGCCCAGATGTTCAGGAGGCAGTATAGGCAGGAAGGGATCAGCTGGATTATGACTAATATAGTCCCAAACAAACAAGAATTCACATGATTCCAAATGGATCTGTGCTAATTAGGACACACAATAATCATAACACAGGCTACTATTGAGTATAGCTTGAGCCAGGATGTGAACTAGGACAAATGTTCCTCTTTCATTTGTTGTTTATCACATCAAGGACCTAAACTAGTAGCTTGCACCTGTAGTATGTACTCAGTAAGTAATTCTTGGATGGATATGTATATTTGTGTTCTACCTTAACAGAGGTGACAGTGAATGTTGTATCTAATGAAATGGTTCTCAAAATTGGCTGAAGTTTAGAATCACTCCTTGAGATAACTCTGCTCGATTTTGCTGTGAACCTAAAAGTGCTCTAAAAAAAGTAGTCCATTAAAAAGTTTCATCTTGGAACCCTGGGAAATACAGGTAAAATAGAAAAACAAATGAGTATATAGATACCTCCATAAATAGGTGGAGAGATGAACCTCATTTCAATCCAAGTAGATCAGAATCTTCAGGAGAGAGGTGCTCTGTGTGTGTTGTGAATAAGGTTGTTTATGTGTTGCTTTTAATTTCCTTGGGGAATTCTAATGCACATCCTGGGTGGGAAGGAAGTCTTGTGTACAGTGAATCCAATCTGGTCTCTTTCTATGTTATCCTCTGTATATGTTATCCTGGTCTCTTTATATGTTATCCTGGTTGAGTACCTGCTGGATAAACAGCATTGACCCTGGCTTGCCCCATCTTCCATCTCAGTCCATCAGGCTCCACCTCTCTGATATTACCCTGCAACCAACTCACACATGCTCAGGGCAGCAGCAGTGTTCCATCCAGGAAGCTTTGGTCTATTTTTTTTACCTCCCTCATCCCCCAGGAGGCTAAAAGGACAGTGTGTGGAGTAATTGATACACGGGTGCTGTTATTCTGCCAATACCCATTTTGTACTTCATCAGTGGCATCTCACATAGTCAGATGCTGAATCCCACCCTGCCCTTCTCATATCAATCTTTCCCCCTCTCCTCTGTGGTAGAAGTCATTTCTGGTTGGTGAGATTAAAAAAAGACATACACACATACAGAACTTAATAGATTTGCTGAGAGGCCTTCCCTAAATCTTAAAAGCCAGGGCGCTGGGATGTCTAGGAGCCACGTGGTTTTGTGTGTTTTTTTTCAGCCCCCAGCTCATCACTCACCTTTCATAAGACGTTTCCCTTCCAGCAACTTGAAGAATGCAGGCATCTCTGGGTAGATGGCATATTATGGGGTTTCTGGGCTGACAAGGAGGCTGACAGGTGTTTCAGAAGAAACTGCTCTGGTTGAAAAAAGAATGATTTCTGGCACTCAGCATCTAGAAGGAAGGAATTTGTGTTAGGATGTGAGTTGCATTCATGTAAGTGGCCCCATTAGAGCTGCCTGTCATCCACCGGTGGAATTTCTGGATGCCTACATATTGGCCTGGGGTGGTTCTGTTTTTCTATCACAACACAACTATTTGTGATAGAGTCAGGCAGAGGGATTGGAAACATCAACAGATGTGCAGCACTTGTTATCCAAGGGACAGAAAATCATATTCTCCTGGCAATACATGATTTTGTTTTTGTTTTGGGGTGATTATTTTTTTGCAACACATATTAACCATCCAATCCAGCTATAAACAGTAGGGGTTGGTCTTTCAGAGATATTGTTGCAGTATGTACATGTAAATCTTGACATGCTTTTGTCAGACCTTGTCTTTGTAAGCTTAGCCAGCTGTGTATGTCAGTGTGGGTGTGTGTACATGTGTT